GTGTTGTCGTTGTCTGCAGCAAGTTGTCCAGCAGGGAGGTGGTGGCGCCCACAGTGCTGGTCAAAGAGAGCCTCCCGGACGCTGCTGCTGCCGACGTCGCGGTCACAGGCTGGGGCCCGGCAAGCAGCCAGTTGACCGCCAGCTTTGCGGTCGTGGTGCAGGGTGGGCCCACGTTTGCAGAACAGTCGTACACGAAGGCCATGGCCTCGCGGCCATCAGAGTGCCTGCGGGTCCGGGGCCGGTGCGCAGCAAGGGGTTGGGTGCTTGGGAGCATTGTGGCTTGCTGCGCCCGCGTGGCCAATCCTTTGCATCGTGAAGGGAATCCAAGGCGCGTGAAGAAATACAGGAGCTTTCTCGGCGTAAAGATGGCTGCGCCCATGCATTTGCATCGTGCGTGTAAAGTCGCCGTGTGCACTGTAGCGCAGCACAAGGGAGGGGGGCTGGGGGTGGCTTTCGCTGGGCACAAGTAGCACTTGCAGCGTTTGCATGCAGCCCAGCGGCTACATCCAGGCGGGCTCACGTTATCTTCGCCCCGGCGACGCTGGGGGTCAGCGTTGCGGTGAGAAGTATGGCTGTGGATGTGCAGGGGGATACGATGCTGGTGGAGGTCGCGTCGGTGGCCGTGGGGCCGTAACGCATGTTGCAGGTCCCCAGCGGAACGGCCGGGTTGCCGGGAGCCCTGCAGTTGAAAGTTGGGTCCAAACAGACAGGCAGCATTTGGGTCGAGCTCGCAGGCAGGATTGTGCCGCAGCCAGCACCTGTCAAACCAGACAGCCGCAGCCGCAGGGGTCGTACACAGAGGGTGGAATTGCGGCTGTGTGTGGGAACGTTCAAGAGCCATGCTGCGTTGGCGCCGCATGAAGACACTCACATGGTCACGCCGAAGCCGTTCGCGATCAGCACGGCTGCAGCCAAGACGCCCGACGTGCCAAATGGCGCCTGCGCCGTCCAGTAGAACAGACTGAAGGCGCCCGGTGCAGAGGCGGCGCCGAACCCGATTGTGGGGGCGGGGGCGCCATATTTGACGCTCCTGGCGCCGGTCTTGGCCTGATAGTCCCAGAGCACCCCGATCTCGGCGGGTGTTAGGAGGCTCATCGACTCCAATGGGGGGTACCTGAGGGCGGGTTTGAGGGCAGCTGGTGAGAGCCGGCAGATATCTGGAAATCAGGGGGTAGTGCATGCCGGCAATGTTGACTGAAGGTCGTCCGGATGACGCAAGCACTTGCAGTGCACCACAAGTACCGTACCAGCTGCTGCCAAGAGGCTACACATAATTGAACATCAACAGAGGGCCAGCACAAGTTCAACTTTTGTTCTTTGTCTAGGCACCATCCACCTGCTGCCGCAGCGCTGATGACAGCGATCACTGGCATGCACAAATGCGGCAGAATGAGCTGGCATCTGCTAGTGCAACCGCCCACATGCGCGAACCACGGCCATCCGACCCGCTCACATGACGCAGCCCCTGTATTTTCCTGTGCCGTCTGCGTTCCACAGTAGGGCGGCAAAGTCCGGGCGCGAGGAGGGGCTGACAACCAGCGTGTCAAAGGCCTGGCCGGCCGCCGTGAGGGCCGCCTGCAGGAAGCCAACGCTCGTGGCGGATCTGACAGGTGGTGGGGCAGGCCGATTCGGGCGCGGCCAAGCAAAGGTGTTTAAAAAAGACGGACAGAGCACAATTACAGGCCCCAAAACCCTTCTGGGCGTGGGGCCTGGCCCCAGCCGCATCGATGACGCACGCACGGCTGGGGAGTGCGCAGTGGGAAGTTGGGGCCTGAATCCAGAGTCGGGCCCAAACAGTCTCAAGGGTGGAGAGCGGCCGAATAATCTTGAGTTTGTGCCTATCTCACCCGGAAGCGACTCCGCTGGGGTTAGTTATCACCAGCACGGTGTTCCCTGTAACCTGCCGCATTTGCGCCTCGGTTCCCGCCACCCAACCGAACCAAACAAGCAGAAATAGAAGGGCGCGCCCATGTTGGGGCGCGCCCATGATCGAAAGCCCTTGGAGGCGCGTCGCCAAGATGAGTGTGGCCGTCGGAACGCGGTCGGATTGGTCTACACGACGGAGGGACGAGCAAGTCGATAGATTCGACTGTAAAACTGTCTGATTATAAATGAACCAGGCTACTGAATAAGAGCCCTTTGTGTGGCGAAGTGCGCAGACGCGAACAGGTAGCAGATTAGGACAACGGCGCCCACGTCACGGTGTGAGTTCAGTGGCCCGCCCAGTGCTGTGGTTGCACACCTACCCGCAAAACAACGAGAAAGTTTTTTGTGCCAGCCAGGATGCCTCTCAGTAGCTCGCACGGCTGCTTGCTGGCCCTCATGGCTGGCCTGAGCAGCCACGGAGCGGCCCCCTTCAGCCGCCGGAAGGGCCCTGGATAGGATGGGATTACGCGCGCACTTGCGACGCTGAGTGAGGCAGCGCAGCTGAAGTCACACAACACTTCATTTGAGCAACCTGCAGTAATTGCTGGCCCGTCCACAAGCAGATCTGCTGCCATGTGCAGCCCCGTTGTGTTGTTGGTGTTCGGGCAGCTCGCCCACACCCACCACCCCCGCTGCTGTTGCCTGCTGCTGAGGACTGCCGCCTGGAGCCGCTCCGATCCAAAGGGCTTGCGCTGCCACACGCCGCCTGCATGCTGTGCTGCGGCCCTAACTGCCACCGCTCTGTCATTGTATACGATCAGCAAAATCTCCTGTTGCACTGCAGACTGCACTGAGAGCAGCACGTTCATAACCTTGTGACCACAGAGCAAACACCACGGATTCAAAATTCTGTCCAATGCAGCTGCCACGACCTGCCTCCAGCCAGCAATGATTTCATAACGCATCTTCTCTGAAAAATAAAATTTAAGCTGGCCAACGACGCTCGCAGCCGACATAAACAGCGCCGGAGCCTGGCCCTGCGTATCACGCCGCCGCGGTCGCCGCCGCCGCGGCCGCCGCCCCCGCCCGCGGCCCGCCGGCCGGCGCCGCGTACCACTCCCCCGGCCGCCGAACGATCAGGCGCGCGGGGCTGACAAACACATCCGAGTACGCAGTCTCCCGCGACAGGAACGCCGGCGCCGCGTCGGCGCCCGCGCACACGATGGTGCTGCCGCTGCCTGTCATGAACACCGAGCTGAACGGCTGCCCGCCGGCATCCCCCTCCGCCGCCAGCCGCTCCTGCAGCGCCCGCAGCTCTGGCAGCGTGTCAAACGCGGGCTGCTCGAGGTCGTTCACGGTGAGCTCGTCCGACAGCTTCCCGGCAGCTGCCATGCGCTCGAGCAGGCCCCGCGGGTCCTCCTCGCTGCGGCGGCCGAGGTCGAGCGCGCGGAAGATCTGGGGCGTGGACAGGCCGATCGGCGGCTTGACCAGCAGCAGCGGCGTGTCCAGCGGAAGCGGAGGGGGCACGTCCTCCACGATTTCCCCGCGCCCAGTGCAGTACGCCGCCCCCGATGAGAAGAACACCGATATGTCGGACCCGATCTCCCCGCTCCACTCCAGCAGCTGCGCGTCCGTCGCAGGCCGCCCGCACAGCTCGTTGGCCGCCCACAGCGTTGTTGCGGCGTTGCCGCTGCCGCCGCCGAGGCCGGCGCCGTGGGGGACGCGCTTGTCCAGGCGCACGCGGAAGTGGGTGGACACCCCTGCCTTGCGACGGTACAGGTTGAGCGCCTGCGGCGGGGCAACCGAGGAAGATTCATCACAGCAGGCAGCAGCCGCTGCGGCGGCGGCGGCGGAGGGCTTGCAGCAGCGTTGCAGGGGGCCGTGCGACTGCAAAGTGCAGGGAGGCCGACGAAACCTGCGGCGCCCAGCCGGGCTGCTGAAGCTCTCGGCCCCTCAGCCCGGGCCCCGTCCGCCACCGCCTTTGCCACAGCCGGCCCCAGCGCGGCTGCCGGCAGTCCATGGTTGCGCCCCCCTTCAACGCCGCGCCCCTGCGGCCATCGAGGTTGTGGCGCCAAGGCCGCCAGCTGCCCCCAGCCCGTCACATGTGCGCACCGACCGCCCCCTGCCGCTTGCTCTGACTGCCCGTTTTCCAGCCCACCCCCCACCTTGATGACTAGGTTGCGCTCGTCGCAGGGGATGGTGGGGTCGCTGCACTGCAGCACGTCCACCGCGGCGCTGTCAGGCAGCACCTCGAGCTCCATGTCATCGCCTAGGTCGATGACCTGGCGGGCGGTTGCGGCCGGTACGGGCGGACGCTTGTGTGTGTATGTTGTGTATGTTGTGTGTGTGAGTGTGTGTGTATGTTTGTGCGTGTGCATGTGCGTGTGTGTGTGTGCGTTTGTGTGTGGTTTGTGTGATGATATGGGTGGGTGCGGGAACATTGCGTTGCGATGGCACAGGCAGGCCCGCTGCCGTGGTGCGACCTGCGAATCTGCGGTTGAGCGGCGTGGTCGCACAGGGCTTCCGGATCCAAAACCCACAGACGGCGACCTTAGCATCCAGCATGTGAGGGATTGTTCTGATACCCATGCACAAAGTAACATTTTGTGTGCTTCGCGGTCTCACGTGGAAGAGCGAGGCGAGGTCATGGTACCCGTCCTCGCGCCGCCGCATTATCCGCAGGAACAGGTTCACCTGAAGATGCGCGCGCCGCGGAAGGCGGGGGCGCCGTTCGGCCAATGAGCGGGCGGACGGGCCTATCGCTGTGAGCGCCGACGCAGCTGTACTCACAGCAGCGCGCTCCAGAGCTTGGTCCACCGCGATATGCCTGCCACCCGGCACCTCTCAGGGCTAAATACATGCCCTGTGAACAGCTGATTGCTCAAAATCGTTCGCAAACCCACCTTGGAGGGCGAAAACACCTGCATTCCGTCCCCAGCGCTCGCGAGTGCCACATGCCGGGGTTGGCTGCGGCAGGTCTGGCGTGTGATGCATAATCTGGGACACCTTGTTGCGGACTGGAAGGGTGCCTGTGCCCGCATGCGTCTCGACTGCATATTTGCTGAGACAAAGAGATCTTCGAGGTGTGTCGTGACTGTAAGGGCAATTTAGGAATGCAATATGGGTAACGTTGATCGCGTCTGCTTCCGTAGCAGACGCAGAGCAGACGGCAGCAAATCACTTCGTTGAACACCGGTCTCGTTGGCCGGTGCGTTGTGTGCTCGTTGAGCAATCTATGCAATGCGACATTACTAGAATACAGCGTGCTGTGAATACTATCGACACTCCATTACGGTCAGGTTTGATCACACAGTACTGTACACAGACCGGCCCGGACACAGCCATCCTCACTATCGGGGCTCTGTCACTCAATCCTGACGTGGCGAGGGCCTCTAACTCCTTAGAACCAACCTACCCTGGGTGCTGTCTATCCACACCGCCTGGCTGGTGGCAAGAGAGCGTGGCTCTCTGGTTGGCCCGGGGGAAAGAACGCCAGGTTTCACCTGAGCCTGGCAGTCACTACGAGACTGACAGCAAATATACACCTGGGAGCAGCGGGAAGGACCTCGTGGGCGGCGGCCCTTGAGCGCGGTGGCGCCAGCCGCACGCCCGCAGCAGCTGCGCCTGTGTGCGCGTTGGCGCCGCCAGTGCGCCATCTCTCCTGCCCGCGCCCCGCCCCCTGCCGCCAAGGGCGCTTGCCCAGCCGCCACCCTGTTGGATCCGGCCACCCGCGCAGCCGCGGCCGCCGCGCCCGGTAGGGCTGCAGCCGCGCGCAGGCGCGCATGGCGCCGCCCCGCGCCGCCGCCGCCATCGGCACCGGCGACGAGCCGGCGCTGGCGCCGCAGTGGCTGAGGGGCGCACCCGCCTCCCCCTCGGGACTCCTCCCTGGTGAGCGCGCCCCGCGGAGCGCTGTCCTGGCCGCACTCTACAGTCGCGTGCATGCTACGCTCCGGCCCAAACCGCTATCCGCGCGACCGGCTCCTGCCTCGCTGGCCGGCCCCTCAACCCCTCCGATCCCTCAACCCCACCGCCCCGGTCTCCCCCCTGCGACATTCTTCCCACCCAACCAGGCGACCGCGGCGCCAGGCTGCGGCCCGCGGAGCCGCGGGACCGCGGCAGCGGCGCGCGCCGCGGCGCGGCGCACGGCGCCGGCGCCGCCTCGAAGGCCGACGAGCGTGCGTCCTGGAAGCGGGACGCGTACCCACCCGGCGGCGCCGGCGGCGGCAGCAGCGGCGGCCGGGGCTGGGG